CCCACCATTCTTGCCACTTTGGGAAGCAGTTCTGGAATCCCCATTGGTGAGTGCCTTTTTCAAGATGTGATCAAAAATATGGTAAATGGGGGCCAGGGATTCAGCTCAGTGGTTCCGCCACTTGCCTTGCAAGGACAAGGACCTGAGTTTGATCCCCGGTACCCGCCCCCTGAAAAAAAAATATGGTAAATGCTGTTGCCAAGTGCCATCCAGTGGAAAGGCAACCTCATAAAAACATCAGGGTATGTCTTCATCCATTTTATTTACGAGGTTTGGTGCCATGAAACTTCTGGCTCTTCCTCAAAATCAAAATCACCACAAAGAATTAATGTTTTGAAGCAACTGAGGACATCAAAGCAGCCATGACACTACAACTGAAGACATGATAAAGAACTTCTACATGGGTTGTTCTCCAAAATAGACCACACAGTCACTCATAGAACACGTTTAAGTAAGTTCAAAGGAACTGAAGTTATCCCCTGTATATTGTCAGAGCATAGTGCGATGAAATTGGAGATCAATAGCAAAAGAAACCTCAAGAATTTCATAAACACATGGAAATTGAACAACACACTTCTGAATAACCAATTGGACACAGAGGGAATTAAAGAAGAAATCAGACAGTTCCTATAATTAAATGACAATGACTGTACAACATACCGGAATCTATGGGACACAATGAAAGCAGTCTTATGAGGGAAATTCATAGCAGTGAATACTCATACTGGGAAAACAGAGCGAGCCCAATTAAACAACCTGATGCTGAACCTCAGGTTTCTAGAAACAGAAGAGCAGGACAGACCCAAAGCTCAAACAAGGGAGGAAATTATAAAGATCAGAGCAGAAATCAATGCAATGGAGACTAAGAGAATATTACAAAAAAGCAATGAACCCAAGAGTTGGTTCTTCAAAAGAATCAACAAAATTGACAAGCCGTTAGCCAAACTTATCAGAAAAAGGAAAGAAAAGGCCCAAATCCACGCAATTAGGAATGAAAAGGATGAAATTACAATGGACCCAACAGAAATCCAGAGGATCATCAATACCTACTTTGAGAACCTATATGCCAATAAGATGGGAAACAGAAAAAAATGGACAGATTTCTAGATATGTATGAATTACCAAAGTTGAACGAAGAAGACCTAAAACTTCTAAACAACCCAATATCAATCAATGAAATTGAAAATTTAATTAAAAACTTACCAACTAAGAAAAGCCTGGGTCCTGATGGCTTCACTGCTGAATTCTACAAGACTTTTAGAGAGGAACTACTGTCACTACTGTTTAAACTCTTCAAAGAAATTGAAAGGGAAGCAATACTCCCAAATTCATTCCTGGAAGTAAGCATCACCTTGATCCCCAAAGCTGGGAAAGACCCAACTGAAAAAGAGAACTATAAGCCAATCTCACTAATGAACATAGATGCAAAAATCCTTAATAAGATACTGGCAAATAGAATGCAGAAGATCATCAAGAAGATCATACACCCTG